ACCTACAACTTGATTTTTATCGTATTGAGTTATGTGAACTCACTTCTCATCATTCACAGGTGGAGTAAGAACGGAATCGGGATCCGAGCGGCTGATAACGGAGCCCCGTCGGTTATACATAATTAAATTAAATATTTATTATACATAATTAAATTAAATATTTATATTTAATAAAATAAATCATTATTATTTATATTAAAATAAATTTTTATTTAAGAAAGTATAACAATATCGGCATTCTGCTTACCTTTTTTAGTGACGACAGCCAATATCGGCATCCCAACCCCAACCACCACTAGTACATCATCACCACATCCATACTCAATACACCAACATATATGCATACTTAACCCACATGCAAGTCATTTCAACTTCAATTATCGATAAACAATCAACATTCCCATGCAACTTTCAAATTCACAATCATATTTACATAGCACACATAAATACACACATATACAAATACACACACATACAAACACGCACATACACACGCTCACTGTTCTGTATCCTACTTCCCAATCCCCTTTCTCTTTCGCTCAACTTCACCCCTCGCAACACCTGCATCTCTTTCTAACCACTCTCCGCTCTCAGTCCCTCTCTTCCCTCACCTTTGTGTTCCTCATCTCACGGCACTTTAATCTCTCTATCACTATCACCCACTCCGTGCCCTACGCGACCATCAGAAGTCGTTCCCTACGTCCCTTCTTGCCTCCCTCTCTCTCGGCCCTCCCATTCTCCCGTACGTATTTTGTTTCCTATTGATTCACCCTTCCCGTACCAATTTACCTCTCATCCCCACGGATTCCCTTATACCTCTTCACTCACCGTCCTACTCCAATCTTTTCGTAATCGAAATTCTTCCTTCACTCTCATATTTCTTCCGTCACTTACTTCCTCTTCTAATTCCTTACATTGTCTCAACAACACTGTTCACATACCTATTGACCTCTCCTCCCACGACTTCCGCAATTTCTCTTCACTCACATTCCTAATCGAACTTTTCTGTCACTTACCACCTCTCTCAGCTCTCCTATTCCATCAAGCACCTATTTCCTATTTCAATTTCTTTCACTGTCTCGACAACAACTTAGAACCTCAAAGGCCAGACATCGTTTTAAGGTTTGCAAGATCAAATCCATATTAGATAATCATCCTATATCTTAAATTTAAATTCACCATACTTTCGGTCTCCATCGTTTTTTGCACCTTCGCAGCTCACTCAGTCGCCTTGGTCGTCCCTCCTTCTCCTGGCCTCTCTCCCGTCCTCGACCGACTCCTCCTTTCCTCTCTTCTCATTCCTTCCCTCTCCAACTTCTCTATCTCTCGAATATTCTATCACCAGTCTCCTTTTTCCCCTTTTCGGTTATCCCTTTTCTTTCGTCCTCTGTTTTTTTTTTTCTTTTCTTCTTCCTATTTATACTCCACCTACTACTCATCATAGCCGTCCATTCCATTCTACAATCTACACCCATCCTAACTGTCCATTCCGTCTCCCAAACGACACCGTTCACCCCTCTCCCTCTCCCATATATATATATACTATTATTACCATTTCTTTTTTTTTTCTACCCAAAACTCAGTTACTACATGAAGATAGCTTTTAAGTTACCGTAGGAACTAAGTCTGGATACCATTAATAAAAATATAGAACAATTATTTCTCATTCAGATTTGTACTTCCCTAAAACCCAGCTAAGAGTTTGCCATTGACGTTCACTCTTAACCTTGTTCGTTACATGCACACGTCTAGAGCTTGAAAAAACTCTAACCCATTTGCTTGATTATGGAGTTTCTCTCTCTACTTTCTCATTCATTAGGTTCATTTTTTCTTCTTTTTTCCACTAATTGAACTGAAAAATCATATAGATCTCAACAATACCTAATTGATTTATTTTATAAGTAAAAAAGCTTCAATTTGATGCACATAAGAGTAATTTAATACATTTTTTTTTTGGAGCACTGAGACTAATTTATATTTAAAAAAAAATTAAGAATTGTTTAATACATTTAAATTTTCGCATATGAAATACTATATATAAAAATGACTTATATAAGGAAGATATAAAACACTTCTTCTGCCCGGTTATTAAGAGTATGGCTTTCTCATCCCTGAGTTTTGAAAAATCCCAATTAATGTATTTTTTTATCTTAGTTCAAATTTTGGTGTGGATTTACAACAAAACCTGTGATTAATTAGTATTTAATTGTAATTTCATACATACACGTGCTAATTATCCTCTAAACAACAAATAAACAAAAAAAAAATAGCACATATATATATAGAATTTATACAAAGTAAAAATGATTAAACAAAAATATAACTCTCAACTCTGATTGAAACGTACATGAACTAGTTTTTTCTTCTTTTTTTTTTTTTTTCTTCAGACGACCATCAATAAAACATAGAAGAAAATTAAACAGCAAACTCTATAGTATTGAATAAAATTATGTTAATATTCTGATAAATTATAGGTATTTCACACATATTTATGTATATAGCAAGATTATATATATATATATATATATATATATATATATACTACTAGAGATATAATCATCTCTCAAGGCTTCTGCTTCTGGGTATATATGTAATCAGTATGAGCAACCAGAGTTCTTCTCATCAAACACTCTTCTTCTCCAAGCCCTTCACAGCTTTCTTCCGCCATTTCTCCTTCAACACCCCTATCCAAAACCAAATAAACCCACAAATATTCGATTATTAAAAAAATAATAATAATAACAGTTACCCATAAATCAAAATCAGCGGTTGAGATCGAAAATAGAAAAGAAAAAGGAGAAAAAGTAAAGAATCAAGCTGACCTCAAACTGGGTTTTTACAGGAGAAGCGGAGGATGCAGAGAAGAAGACGGGGTCTGGGCGAGCGGCGTAGCTTAGCGTGGCACAGAGTAGGAGGGCTATCATGAACAGGGTTGTGAACTTAGCCATAGCTTGTGTAGATATATGGAATTAATTATATATATATATATATATATGGTTCTCGAGGATGTATGTACGGAGGGGAGGCGAAGAAGATAAAAGTTTTTAGAGGGTGAAGAGAAGAGTATTGGTGTTAGGATGAATTTATAGAGGAAAAAACAGAGGAGACAACGCTCGTGTGAACTCGGAGAAAATTGAAGGAAGACAAAATGATTATCAAGAGGAAATTAAATAAAAAACATAAGAAAATAGCAAAAAAGGAGACAAATATTACAAAAATTAAAAAAATAAAGGTGACAAAGAAAAGTTCGACCGGAGGAATAAATCTAAAAAAATATTAAAAAAAAATAGATCTGTGAAACGTTTTACATGTTATTTTATAAGAGAATTTGATCTTGCTAAGAGAATCATAAGGTTAAAAGTATTAAATAATAGGATGGAGTTAATATATATATATATATATAATTAAGTTTTGAGAGTATTTTGCAAAAAAAAAAAAATTTGTTTTCAAAGTTTACACTTCTATTAGTTGAAGAAAGTAGAAAAATAATTACCCAAATTAGTAATAATTGAATTACTATGAAATTTTCGATGAAATTCAATTTATATTTCTAATAAAATTTAAAACATATTAATTGTTTTAGCAATAATAGTTTTGTGTTTTAATATATTCAAAATTTTATTTATAAAAATAAATTAAAATAATCAAAATAAATAACTACATTATTTATTTTTGACTTATTTATTGTTTAATTTTCACGGGTCATATTTGTATAGAACGGAATATAAAATTATTGGAATTTAGGAAATTTTTTTTTTCAACTTGTAAGATAAAAATTTTAAAAAGGAAACGAACCCATATTAGCCACTTTGATGCTCTTTCCTTTTTGGATTAGGAAATTAAATCAAAGTTTTAGTCTATAACCTTTTTATTCTATGAGATTCCATTTGCTTGATTGTCATGTGATATTGCTTGCCCATTTGCAATAGTGGATTTAGACCTACCAATTTATCTTGTAAGATCCAGCTAACCAAAAATCACTACTTCCCTTCAAATTATTAATTCGAAATATATATATATATGTATAATTTATAACTATATGAAGTAGAATAAGCAAAAATATTATAAGAATAATAATAATAATAAATATATTCTCGATACCATATACACAAATAATAAGCTCCTAATTTTTTAATTACCAAGAATTTATTCCGACACAACTAACATATTCCGTATACAATATATATAATTCGATCATCCAACACCCACGATTAATTTCTTCCTCACGAGTGAGATTTAATTAAGTATTAGTTTAAGATTAATTAATCATGTAAACGGTGCAATTTATGTTACCATCATTTTTGATAAAATAAATTATGTATGTACGTAAACATCATGCTTACAATGTTTCGTTGTAATTAATTATATTCAACATCGATCTTGGTCAAATGTTTACTTCTATTTATATTTATAGCTGTTCACAAAAATTAATATTTTTTTTTTTAATTTAGAACATGCTGTCACCTTGCTATGTACTAATTCAAACATATACGGACAAACGATCCATGTATCCGTGTATGTATATGTGCTGTATAAACATTTATATGATATTAATTCATTAAAAATCAAATGTACAAAAAGAGACAAGATGGGCGAAATCCATATAGATATTGTTATCGGAAAGAGCTTGAGCTTGATATATATCGTGGATCCATATATATGCATAAACAGATTAATGTATACCTTTCAATATTATATAATACATGTAATTATAAAACTAATATCTATAGATGAGCTCTTGGAAAATAATATTGTAT